TAGGGTAGTCGGGTATATAAAAGAGAGTGACAACGTGACAGAGTAATGTAATATGTGTGTGTAGATAGTGAGTAATTGAACTGCAGTCAGAAGTATTATTGACGTTCGTTGATATAGCGTTTGTTCTAGCGTGATTGTTGAAAATAAGTGTATCGTAAAGTTGTACAATGGAACAAATGACGCTGCTGAAGACGTGCCACCTGAAGAAGCCACCATTGAAGAAGAAACTCTACTCAGTTTTGAGAAGGGAAACGGCGAAACTCTTGGTGAAATTACTACCACTGATGTGACTGTTATCGACGATAGGACATTTCCCCACATGAAGCAGAAGCCAATGAGACGGAGACCAGTAGTACGGAAGATGATACGTCCCGTAAAATTAAGAGACTTTGTTGAATTGTAATTTTGTGATTGTAATTCTGTACATTTAATTAAGTTATTGTTAATTGTTATTGGTTCAATGTAAGTGGCTATTGTTCGGGACGAACAATACTAAGGAGGGGCAGTGTTGCGTCCGCGAGGTCACGTGACTAGTGTCACGCCACTTCTTTCTCGAACCTTCGGGAGATTACTAGATTGGGGGTAGTCTGGTATATATAAGATGGTCACAACGTGACGGGACAACAGTGTAATAAGTAATTGAATGTATGCAGACAAAATATTGTTGGCCTCGTGAGACGTGAATTATAGTGTTGTTATAGAGCGACTGTTGAAATTAAGTGTATCGTAAAGTTGTATTCGGAAAGAATAAACCAGTTTTATTTAAGAAAGGACTTGTGTCGCTAAAGTTTCGTTGGAACGAATTTACGGTAAATTAATTAACGACTGGAGGTGTAACAATATATTGATAAACTTGGCCATAGAGGTTACCAAGCTCAAAAGAAATGTTTGTGACCACTGGATTGGCTAACGCATTCTTAGCAAGATTATCAACTATCTCATTTCCCTGGATTCCTATATGGCTAGGGACCCAAAGAAATTTGATGACCATACGGCGACTTAAACTGACTAGGTATAATATTGTTACGTCTCCATTTGTTAATTGATTTTTTTTTCGTAACTTTGTTCCGACGAAACTTTAGCGACACAAGGCCTTTCTTAAATAAAACTGGTTTATTCTTTCCGAATACAACTTTACGATACACTTAATTTCAACAGTCGCTCTATAACAACACTATAATTCACGTCTCACAGGCCAACAATATTTTGTCCGCATACATTCAATTACTCATTACACTGTTGTCCCGTCACGTTGTGACCATCTTATATATACCAGACTAACACATATCTAGTAAATGCTAGGGCATTCCTGAAGGAACAGGATATTTCTAGAAAACGGGTGGCGTGATACTAGTCACGTGACCTCGCTGATGCAACAATATCAATATCAGCATGAAATTGAACACACTTTTTGATATTACACTCCTCCATAGCTTGAATTTTTTTGAAATTCAAAAATCTTTAACAATTGTCTTTTTATGAGTCTAATTATCACTAACGAAGGCATTAATTCAAATTCTTTGCTTATGATTATCCTGACTTTGGTTTTTAAGTCTGACACCTGCTTTGCCAATTGGGTGGTGAGGAGACTGTCCATTAGCTGGTCTTCTGGGTCACACTTTCAGCCAAGCTAACACCTCTTTACAACAGTTTTCAGCTCGATAATGTTACAGAATATTTACAAAGTTTTTAATTCTAGCCATGAGGATGTTCACAATGAGCATGTGTATCAATATTAACATGTTTTTATCATTCCTAAGTAAAGATTATGGTGCTAAAACAGTTTATGTTATGTATTTTTTTATCCCTGCCGCATTAATATTGCATATGACATATATGACTGAAAGTATACTTTCAGAGATTGCGACATTGTAGATTTGTTTTTGATCAACTTGAATGTTAAAAGAAGTGTTTAACAGTGTTTCCTCAGCATGTAAATTTGCCCGGTTTACCTTAAGCATGTAGATTTGTTGCTTCTTCGGTACCTAGTTTATGAATTTAACCATGCATTATGACTCACTTTAACCTATACACTTGGTTGAAACTTTGACCAACGGAATGTACTTGATCTTACACTGTAATCTGCCCTCTTATACAAAGAAGTGAATCCTGGATGTTTCTGATTATCTTGTTCTTGAACTACCCAGGGGTTTTTCCATTCTTCATGCTGTGTATTCCTAAAGACGTTTATATTGCTTAATACACTGCTAACACAGTTGAAGACTGTTATAAAGAGATGTTAGCTTGGCTGAAAGTGTGAGCCAGATGACCAGTCTCTCCACCACCTGATTGGCAAAGCAGGTGTCAGAGTTAAAAACCAAAATCAGGATAATCACAGCTCCAATTTAGTGTTTGCAAATAAGGGCACTGAAATAGACGTGTAATCGATATCACTAAGCACGGTAGTGCTTATAGAATGTAAGGAAAGGCCAGAAAAAAATGACCGCCGCATATTATGTATTGCTCATCATAGTCTCAAATATCTCTTATAACAACTTAAACACTAAAGTAGAGAACTGGCGAGTAGTGTGAGAGCCAAACGTTCTACCGATTATTCTGATCCTGGCATCAGAAGGGCTAGCTCACCAATGCTTGAAGTTGTTGCAATGATTTACACACCAAAATGTTGCATTTTAACTTGGGGAATGCAGAAGCAGTATAGAGTTTCACTAGCTTCAACACGTGTTGCCCATCAAGCCAACTCATCACGCCAAGCTAAAACTGTTGCCTTCATAGCAGCTGCCGTTCATAAATATTTTTTGGTATTGCTTAAAAAAGAGGGGGAGGAAGTAATATACTGTTACGTCTCTGATCGTTAGTTAATTTCCCTTACAAATTCCTTCAGAAGAAACTTTAGCGATACAAGTCCTTTCTTAAATAAAACTGGTTTATTCGTTCTCAATACAACTTTGAAATTCACTTAATTTCAACGGCCACACTATAAGTTAAACAAACGCTATAACTCATAACGAACGACTCACGTACTCGACTCAATCGTCAGTCTCTGTCTGCAGGTCAATTACATTACCTTGTTGACGTCACTTCTTGGCGGCTTATATATACAAGAATACCGCATATCTAGTAACCTCTCGAGACTTCAGGAAGGGACGTGAACGTTCGAGAATATAACGTGTTACTAGCATCACGTGACCCCGCTGTCGTAACACTGCCCCTTCCTTAGTATTGTTCGTCCCGAACAATAGCCACTTACATTAAACCAA